ACTCACCCCTTCTTGCTTTGTACTAGTCTTTGAGAATGAAGGGTTTGGAATAAATGTATTTTTGTATTCCCCTTCTTCACTGAACTTGTATGCGCAGACCTCATTGCCCCCCCCTTGTGGCCCGATTTCCCAAGGACATCCTCCAGGTTTCCCCTGGAGAGGGAGACCTGGCTGGAAGGGGTGCTGCTGGTCTCACTGGGGACCCCTTGTCTTTCATCCAGTCCCTTCTGAGTTTCCAGAAGAGTAATGCAGTGACAACTGTCTTCATATGTGACAGGAAGAAAATACCAGGCACTGCATGAAGTGTCAGTGATGGAATGACTCGCTGTTCATTTTTTCTCTGCTTACAGTCTTCCACCACTGTACAATCAAGTCAGTTTATTAACTGTGCTAATTTTAGAACCATCAAAGAGGATACCCCACTAAAGTAAACCAGAAACTCAAGGATTGGTTTTAGATCAATATTTAACGTGATACCTAACTTTGGACTAACTGGCCAACTAACTATTTGTAGGCCCACTTTTTCTATTTGGTATTTGTAGGCCCACTTTTTCCTCGGGCTCAAATTCCTTGGACTATTAAAAGGTTGAAACTACCACACCAGAGGTAAGTGGAAGAAGTGGGAAAGGACCTGGGCAGACATTTTTGCATTTGGGAAATACTTTGTAAAGGGTAAATTAGTGACTTCAGCCACTGTATTGCAAGTAACCTTAGTCATAGAAGTAAACTTGAGTGAGGGATTTGAATAAGGCAGCTATTATATAAATTCCAGTGCTGTTCACATTAAGTTTAATGTTTTTAAAGCATCTTGCTCTGCATTGCTTAAAGAAGTCTGAAATTAGGGAGAAAGAAGCTATAGTAACAATAGTTTAAATCGTCCGCACTGTGGCAGTGGCAGAAAGTCTTGTACCTACTATTATTATAAGTTCCAATATCTTGATTTGTGTCATCTGCAGATGTAAAATATCTAACTGGCTAGAGGGAATCCACATGATTTCTCTTTTCCCTTTAATGTCTCTTTCACATCTACCCTATTAACTCCTCACACCCATCAGTGGACAAAAGAAAAGGCTGGAAAGGACTTGGCACATAATTTTCCGT